ATAGCTCTTCAGGTTCAAATCCTGATTCAAACTGTCTTTGGTATGTACCATCACAAATATTACCATGGCACTATAATACTCAAGTGCCTAATCAAACTAGGTTTAGTCATGTTTTCTCAGGTACCTTAAACTGTTTTCCCCCATGACACATGTTGCTCTCAAGGATCCAACCCAGAGTTATGTACAATTACTTTTTCCTCTTACTAAAGAAAGCATATCTGAACATGGGTGAGTGTGCTTCTATACAGGAATATTTCTGAATGTAATTGAATAAAAATATCACTTCAAAAATTGATATTTATTTCTTTTAGTACATAACTGTAATATGCCTCACAGTTGGTGGCAGCATAAAGGTGTCATGACACTTTAGTTGTAAAACAATAATTTAGGGACAAGGATCCTGGCCCAGAATTTAGAGGCCTGGCTTCTTGTTTCACCTTGGCAAATAGCATCCTTATTTCTTGTCTTATATTTCCTTGTTATAAATACAGATAGATGCCTATTTCTTTTCTATTTCATAGGGATACTATGAGATTAAATTTATATGACTGAAATAAATACATTTTACCATCTTTGACTACAACTCAAGAATGGAATTATGTTCATTATTATCATTTTTATCTAATTTCAGAATTGGCATAAGAAAGAACCACTTTGAAGAAGTATTGGAAACTTTAGCTGATATGAGGTGCCAATATTATAATAGGGTTCATAACTATCACCTCATGTACATCTGAAAACAATATTTGAAAATTACCACCATGAATGGCAGACCAATCAAAAAGCAAATATTATGGCTTGCAAGTTTAAAAAATCAGATAGTTATCCGTCTAAATGTTTAATTTTTACAATACCAAATATTCAGACTCTGTATTAAGCTCATTTTTTATCAAGTATACAAATTTATAAATGGTTGACTTAGTTTTCTCCTCTTGTCATGGTATTTTGTATTCATATAGATTCAAGGAAGAAGTTAAAAATTAAAGATGAATGCTATAAAACTGATGTTCAGTTAAGTTACGTGCAATAATTGGGTTGTTGGCAAGATCTACTGATGATGGTGACATATCCCTGAGGTCTAATTAACCATAGCTAATAAACTTCACAGAATATGCCTACAGACAGGGTGGATAGTTGTGCTTATGAGACTCAAGAGAAAGGTGCCATTTATAAATCAGCAAAGACACTTAATGTAGCTGGGCTAGTGTGTATTTTCAATCTTACAACTTGATTTATTTCTTGGTGAACTACCGGCTGCCTGAGACCCTGGCCATGGAGCTATGTCAGACAAGTTCATAGGTGAGATTTTTTCCCCCCCCCCAGAAAATATATAATTATAGAATCTTAGGTTTAAATGGATCTTGTAAATCATAAAATCACCTCTTACCCCCTCCCCTGGTTAATCTGACATTTAAATGTCTTCTGCAGCAGGTCAAACCACAAAAGGTGGAATCAACTACAATACTACCAATTTAGAAGTAAAAATATTTTGGGATCTTTTTTTCTTATTTATTTATTTATATGCATATTTAAATTAGTTAGAATCATGTTATATATTCAAATTTGCATCCCAAATTTCCCCCAACTATTATTACAACATAATAATTTTGCTTTGATATTGTGCAAATGTTTAAAAACATCTCTGTTACAAATGGCATATTATTCAGAGAGGTCCACTGTATTTTGCTTATCCATTTCTCTAATGTTGGACATTGTATGCAGTTTTTAATTTTCCACAGTTCTTAATAATTGCGTTGAACATATTTGTACATAATGGGTTTTCTTTTTTAAAAATATTGTTATTTGGGTTTTATTCCTAGAAGGAATATTGTAGATTCAAAGAGTACCGCCCAAATAATTTCTACTTCTTCGTAGCTAGTTATAAATCACTGTTATTAATTACATCTTATTCTTACTTATGGGCACTATTGTC